TAAATAAGGAGGGGAATCCGAATTTGAAAAACCATCCTTCAAACTAATAGCAAAAGAAAACCAATGGTGGACTGACCCCAAAGCTCACTGCTTTTCTCTTGTGCCACTTCACAGCAGTCATGTAATGGCTCCTTCTCTAAGAAAGCTGCAGTGGGTCCCTATGAATGTGCTGAACCTGATGTCAAGGAAGCGGCACACGTTTAAAATTAATTGCTTGTTTTCCAGACTGCAGCTGTAATGAGGCAGACTCAGAAGCCTTCTTGGAAAGAGGGATCCTCTGAGCAGCCTGTGTGTTGGGAAATGTGTTCAGAACAATAGCTGCTCTATTCTTTAATGTCGGGCTCAGTCTTGCTCCCACTGAAAACTGCAAGAATGGGACTCAATCTTTTCAGCTTGTCTGTGGCATAGACATACCAGCTTAGTCTATTTATATCCCTGAACCATTTGATTTTTCTTGCCTCTATTATCCATTTATCAGCCTTCAGATAGGATGCTGTGTAGTTGCTAACAAATGCTGTCTCTATCCTGGACATCAGAGAGTCTTCTCAGAGAGGGGCTGCCCGTCTCCTTCTGGGAAATGGCAATCTCTAGGTCAGACATGAGGAATCCAGACTGTAGCTGCAACACTAAAATGCCTTGCAATTAGTGCTAGTCAGATGCATCACAGCTCTCTTTCTTCCATTATTAAATATTATGTCTCTTATTACTTTAGGGTTTTCAAATTTTCTCTTCAGCTGATTAAATATTAAGGCTGGAGCACCAAAAAGGCCAGTATGTATTCCTCACATCCTTAAAATGAAAATATTTATTGACAAGGTTTGGAACTTGAGTCTGTTCTAAAACAAAACAAATGAAATTTGCTACTAAATAAATTTAATATCAAATTGGTGTACACAAGTCACTTGAAACTCATTAGATAGAAGAAGACTATTGAAATGTCAGCTATGTTTTCTTTCTAAAGGCCAGAGATTTCTTTTGCGTTCAATAGGTCAGAAGCATTTTTCAGGAGAGTGCCAAATACTCCCAGAAGCATTGACTACAGGCACCGATCAGCTTTCACATTTATTTTCATTCTTGCAACTCGTAGTGGATTAATAATGGAATTCTAATAAAGTTCCACATGAAAACAAGCTACAAATGCATTGCTGGCATACAAGGACATGAACTTTCTCACGTATAACATGATTCATTCAGATATTTTACATAATTATTTTGAAACCAAAACAATAAATAACGCACTTGACAAAGAGAACATCTGACAAGAATGACACTTTCCTTTGCAAAGAAAACCTCACAGATACCATTCTAGTACTGACCTGAGATCTCTCAGAGTAAAAGATCTTGCCTCTCATATAGTGTGAGTAAAGAAGACTTTTGCTATACAAAACTTGAGCCACTGGATAAAGCTGTGGACTAAGGATGCTGTGTGCCTGATTGCATGGCACAGCCTGGCTATCTCAGCAGGTCAAGTGCACCCTGAAGCTGGGGACAGGTCACCCCAAACACTGGCAGCAGCACCCAGATACATTTGTTGTTTCCTTCACTGTTGTGCTGCTGGCAGAAGCCTTTTCTGTGGGGTAACAGTAGGATGGTGTACAGGGCTGGAATTTTAGACGTTGCTACTTTAAAATGTAAAAATCACTCACAGATCAATAGCTTAAAATATAAATTAATTTCTGACTCTAGTTATAGGTGGAAGGAAGAGAAGAAAGTTGAGATCCCAGTGCCCACATGCTTCCTGACTGTGAGAGAGCCTCAAAGCTTGCTCATATTTTTGCATCAAAACCACAAACTGCACATCACAAATGTCCCAACTTTTCATCGGCCATATTGCTTGTTCTTTGCACTAATGCCAAACAATATCTGTTCCAGATGAGAAGTCCAGAAATAATGAAAAACAAACTGGTTTTGTTTTTGTAAGAACAAAATAAATAATGGAAGGAGTTCTGATCAAACTCTGAATCTGTGCACTCAATTCAGTAGTAAGCTCAATATCTAGAGTATGTTTACATATTAAAATGAGGATATCTATTTTCCTCCACCTTCTTTTTTCCTTTCCCCTCTCCTTTGCTCTCCTCTGGTTCTTGGGGACCCGATTCAAGTTACTAAGCCAGGAGAAATCTCATCCAGAAAAGAAAAAAAAAAGAAGACGTTTCTGCTGGGTTACTGAGCTAAAATAGGCACACCATATGGCCAGCTGGAGGGAAGGGGTGAGATTGCATGGCCAGGATCAGCAGTGGCCAAAGGAGGAAAGGAAGAAGGATGGGCAGAAAACCTTATTCTTGCTGTCAGGTTAATGTTCTTCAGATTCATGTTTCAACTCAGGGTGAGGCAAAGCCCAGAACCGCTGGGGGGCAGGGTGGCACATCACTGGTGGTAGGGAGGGAGAGAGGGTAGGGATGGGGCGACTGGTAATTAGTTTGGCCTAAGCTGTCTTCGAAATCCAGATTTAGCTCCTTGGTGGTGCCCAGAGAGCTCTTCTCACCAGAGAGTACAGACTCATTCTGCAGAGGGGACTAGAGAGCCAGGTGACAGAATCCACGCTGCCCTGGCTGCAAAACAAACAGCAGCAAATATCTGGCATACTGAACAAAAGGGCAGTGGTTTGAAAATTAATAGTCACTTAACAAAAAGACACTGAATAAATATTCTCAAAGGTTTGTGATGTATATGGATTTCATATTTCTATAAATCATACAGCTTTCTCTTTTGTTGGTGAACTGGCACTTCCCAAACAGGTAAATCGGGCAGTGATATTGCTAAACCATAAAAGACAAAGACTTTCAAGTGTGGCTGTTTAAAGTCAGGGATTAAAGGCCACACTTAAGTGCCTAAATGGGTGTGTAATTTTCAGAAGTGCTCAGCACGACCACTTATCATCGATGAGAGTCTTGAACTGCTGAAAATATGGCATTGGGTAGTAGGACATAGGACTTCAAATACCTTTTTAAGCCCTTGGTCTAGATATGCAGCTCGCTAGTTGACTGAATGAGAAAGCTTAGAAAGCAGGATAAATGCCATTAGCATGTAATGAAAGAACAGATGTATTTATTTTTTTAATGATAAATCCAAAATATTTAATGAAATAATTAAAGGAGATATTTAAGGAACAAGCAGAACCATTCCACCGTTAACTTCACCAGTCTGTTGACCTCCTCATGCATTCAAAGCTGAATTGCCTTAAGAAATGTGGTGATGGGACAGTGTCAGAAGAAGCCATAATTTCTACGCCTTGGGAATAGGATGTCATCCTAAAATTACCTGTACTGCTTAGGACTAAGAAATATTTCATTCTTCCACCATATAACTCTTCAGAAAACAGCATATTCTGGAGACAAATACAGACAACTGTTACAGCAATGTTTTATATTTGCCATTCACTGCTTTTCCCAGTGCTGTTCTCAGCTAGTAGGTTTGAGAACTGGGGTGATACACAAGGCAACCCCCAGTTGGGGAAACCTGTTCTTAAGATAAAACCTCTTCTTCCCCAAAGAGGACCTTAAGTTGGAGTAAAAACTGTTAGTGCCATTTCTTTCTGAAGGAGCCTGTACTTTCCAATTCTCTCTCTCTCTTTGGAACATCAGTTAAGATATGCTTTGGTAACGGAGTCCTGTCTGACACAATTTCAGGGTCATGTATCTTGTCACTTAAAGAGGCCTTTCTAAATAACACTTCACGCAAGGTTGACCCAGCCAAGTTTGCCACACGTTTGACTGTAAATAAACATGGTAGAAATAAGTCTTTGTCAAGGAGGTAAGAATGGAGGGGAAAATTGAATCATCTTTGAGTTTACATACATACATTTCACACATGTAAAGCTTTGGTGAGCTGAAGTCATTCATTATACATATAAAAAGACATGGAGTGAGTCCAGAGGAGTCCACGAAGATGATCATAGGGCTGGAGCACCTCTCCAGTGAAAACAGGCTGAGAAAGTTTGGGTTGTTCAGCCTGGAGAAGAGAAGGCTCCAGGGACATCTTGCAGCAGACTTCCAGTTCCTAAAGGAGCTGACAAGAGAGCTGGAGAGGGGCTTTTCACGAGGGCGTGTACTGATAGGACAAGGAGGAATGGCTTTAAACAGAAAAAATGTAGGTTTAGATTAGATGTTAGAAAGACATTCTTAACTGTGAAGGTGGTGGGACACTGGAACAGGTTGCACAGAGAAGCTGTGGATGCTCCATCCCTGGAAGTGTTCAAGGCCAGGCTGGATGGGGTTTTGAGCAACCTGACCTAGTGGAAGGTGTCCCTTCCCATGGTAGAGGGGCTGGACTTAGATGGCATTTAAGGTCCCTTTTAACACAAATCATTCTGTGATTCTAAGATTCTTTGATATGATTAGGAAGAAGTCAATTCCTTGCTATCTCTGGAGAGAAGAACCTGGGACTGGATGTAGATTGATTGATAAACCTAAGACCTGGCTTCCTTTGTTTGTAGGGTCATTTATGACTGTTTATGATATACAGAGTATAAAAAAAAATTTGCAAAGATATTCAATCACATCCTCTGAAAAGGTGGAAATTAGACTGTCACAGTCCTGAGTGTGTATCTTCTGAATGGATAGACTGAGATCCCCTTACAGAACCCAGAAAGCTAGATCCCTATCAAGGCAATCAGTAGAGCAATGGTGCCTGCTTTACCATGAATTGGACAGCCTTTGAAACTACATGGATCTTATTGACTAGATCACTATAGACTAGAATAGGATCTTGAACACCTAGATTTTATGTAGGCACCTCCAAGAAGAGATTAAAATTTAGGTATGTTAATGTACAAGCTGAAAACCACTCTAGCTCTTGATGCTACAATATACTTCAGTGACACCTCTGCTTTTCTCTACTATGCTTTATCAGGGCAACTTACTGCACAACAGACCTAGGAAGGAGCATGTACCTGATGGTGAGAGCCAAAAATAAAAGCAAGACAGTGAAGGTCGGGACCCAGCATTTTGTTCTGAGGTCTCTGTTCTCACTGAAGGTGGTTATAGGCAGATAAAACTTACCTGCAGAAATTTCCATCTGTTTCTGGTAGAGTCAGAGAAGCCATGGGATTCTTCAGGAGATCTGTCACAGTGTTATCCTTCCGTGTCACGTAAAAGAAGGGGATTCCAGTGCTGTTATTGACCGGACCATCGCTGAGAAGTAAACAGTTCCCATAGGGCATACCTTGGATCTGCAAAATCCAAGTAAGTGACTGGTTACATCTTTGCACACAGAGGGTTTACAATGGGGGGCATTCCCTCAAAGGCTCTAGCAAAGAGGACAGCCAGCCCCATTACTCCCACTCTCTGTTGTCATCATGAGACAGCACTTCCAAATTAATCTATCTCCTCTAAATTAATTCTATCATGCTTCTATGAAAACAGATCTCTCCTCTATTTTTTCTTTCCAGTCCTGTCCATGACACTATAGAGAACATTTTCTCTTCCATGACCTCAAAGAAACTACCACATTAAAAATGTTTAGGAGCATTAAAATCAATGCCATCAGCATCAAGAAATGTTTACTTTAAACCAGTGCTGATACCTTTCCTCAAAGGATACAGAGTCTAATTTAGCCTTGATTCAGCCTGCTTTTTACACTAATTTTGCTTGCCCTTTTGGCTTTGACTTACAGTGTCATTGCATTGGTTTGTCAAGATAGAGAAAAAAACATTTTAGTGAGAATTGTTTCAAGTCAAACTGGACATCAGCTCAACTTCCTGGGCAGGAACATCAGGTCTGGAGGGGTCCCAGCCACCAAGCAAGCCAGAGTAAAACCTCCTCCCATGGCAGAGGACGGATGCCAAAGAGCCAAGTTTTCAAAAAGTTTTCTCCCATACTCTGACCTGTGTACACACAGTGGATGTAACACCTGCAAAAATGTCCTTGCCCTGTAGTGACACCCATTAATATTTTCTATAATGATTTATAGTCCTACTTTGCTTTACATGCCATTCTAAATAGCAATGACAGATACTTAATGAGTTATTGTGGGTTTTTTCATGTCTTCAGATGCTTCTTTCCTCATGGTCTATTAGATGTTAAATAATAAAATTATCAGTCAATATATTAATTCAGTGTAAGTGGTAAATCTTTTACAGCAAAATCAAATTAAAAATTAATAGTTAATAAGAAAACCTTGGATATTGTTGTTACCTGGACTGCATGCTTTCTAATTTTTAATCTTTATATGCCTTTAAACTTTTAATGCTTATAGTTCTTATAAATGGTCTTTGTTGGCATTCCTTAGAAGTAATGCTTTAATGATGCTACATAACTTAGAAGCTAAAGATACTTCTTTATTATTAAGAGTTACAATGAAAAAAAAATAGCTGTAAGTAATATTGCAGGACATACTCCCATTGCTTAAAATGCTCAGTCTGTCATGCAAGGTTAATGTTACACTGGATTCTCAAAAAGAATTGGGATCACAGGCAGCATAGCTTAGCATTCAGAGCAGCAACCACCACCTCATGAATTTCAAATTTTATTATGAATTATATTTTTCTGTATTACTTCTGTGTTGTAACTAGAGGCAGCTAACTGCAGACTACATTATGTCTGTAATTCCACTGAGGGTTTCTGGCAAGAGCATAAACCAGAAGAGTTAAGATGATACTATTTAATAGGATTTCCAACAAGCTGATGTAGAATAACAGGTCTCTTGTGACCATGTATATATTTATTTATTGGTATCTTGTTTTCAACCTGTTACTTTGTATTTCAGAATAACATAAACTGCCACCAATTCTGCCAAGCCTTCTGAAGATTTATGTGCTTCTAACTTTGTCTATTTTTTAAATTGTAAATTAATTAATATCTCAGTACTTTCAACAGAAAGTTATGGATGTCTTTTTTTTTTTTTTTTAATTTCTCCCCCCCTCCCTTTTGTCTGAGTGATAATGGATGCTGTGTCTGTCTCATCCCAACCTCTCACTTTAAAAGGAAAATATTTTAAAGCTAATGACCCCGACTCTCCGGTGCAGCCCAGCTATTTTGTTTAATGCTCCTGACAGAGAAATCGTTCTTTAAGCTGGACGGATGGACAGATTTTGTGGCAGCCCAGCAGGGTCTCCTCCTCCTCTTCCTCCTTCTCCTGAAACAGGCCCCCTCCAAACCCACCATTGCAGCTCTACTTTCTGACCTAGAGATTTTGTTTTTTTGGTGCCCCTCTGGTGCAATTTTTAGCGTGCCTCCTCCCTCGCTGTGCTCCAAGCACGATTTCTCTTCCAGACAGACTTTCCGCTGTTCCCTCCGCGGCGCGGGCGCTGCGGGCGGCGGGACAGCGCGGCCGCGGGGGCTGCGCTCGCCCGGCGGGAACCGCGTGGCGTGGGCACCGTGGGCACCGTGGGCACCGTACCTTTCCTCGGGCGGCCCGCGTCGCCACGAAGCCCCAGCTGTTGTGGCGGGCGAGGAGGCGGGCGGTGCCGGCACGTCCCGCCGCCCCGCCGGCCTCCCGCCGGTAGGAGAACATCCTGGAGGGGGCGGCCCCCGGCCCCGGCCGCCTCGCCGCCGGCCCGGAGCCCAGCGCCGCATCCTCCCGGTACGCCGAGGCCGGGTAGCTCTGCTTCCAGAGGCCGCCCGCCTCCTCCAGCAGCGCGGGCAGCGCCTCCTCGGTGGAGGAGCTGTGCAGCTCGTCCGCCGCCGCCCCCGCCTCGGGCAGCGGCCACGACACCGAGCTGACCACCACGTACCCCGCCGCGCCGCCCCACAGCAGCGCCGGCAGCAGCCACCACGGCCACCGCGGCCACCGCCGCCCCGCCGACATCTTCTGCGGCAGCTCCCGCCGCGCCGCGCCCGCCGCGCCCTCCCGCGGCCGCCACCCGTCCCGCACCGCCCCCTCCCCGCTGCCCGATGTTCGCGGCAGCCCCCGGCCGGTCGGGTGGTTCGTCGTACCTCGCCGTCCTGTCCCCTCTCCAGCCCCGTGTGGTGCGGGATCCGCTGCCCGCACCTGCCCGGGACCCCCGTGGGACACCCGCCCGCGGAGCATGGGGGCCCCTCGGGGGCCTCCGTGCGGGGTTACCTGTCGTTTGCGGGGCACCTGTGGCGCTGCTGGAGCCCCAGGGTCAGGTGCACAGCCCAGCAGGTATCTCACGAAAATGAGTTCTCTACATGCACCACAAAACCCGGATGGACAGATGGAGCTGTCTGGGCAAAGGCAGTGCGACCTCTCCGTTTATCAGAAAACAGAGAATGAGAATATTCATATCAATATTCCCTTTGCAGGGAAAGCTTCATTTGGGGTTAAGTAACAGCAAGACCCCAAGTCCAAGATGGCAGGCAGCACTAGTTTGGTGTTTGCAAGATGCGTTTTGGTACGTAGGTACATGGAGTTGCTATTAAATGATATGTTTTCCAGGCGAGGTTTTAATTAGGCAAAGATTTGGATGTATATTTGAGTTGATATTAGTGGCCGGATTTAGTAAAGGCACTTTTTCATTCAGCTGCTTCTCTGTTCTTGGCAGTAGACCCCTTCAATATGGTAGTGCAAACTTGTAATTCTTTGAAACATATGCTTGTAAACTCTCATTGCGTTCCTACAAATTATTTAAGGAGCACAGGCTCAATAGGAGACAGGGAGCAATGAATCTCACAGGAGCCTTTGCCTGTCTGAAGGTTCTCAGGTACATCTCACAGATCTTATCTTTCCACAGCTGTGAAGAAGAGATTGCTGTTGAACTGACACAACTTCTGCTTACTTGTACCATGAGAACATGTTGTATATCTTATCTAGAATCTAAACTCTTATAAATTAAAGTTGACTGGAAAATATTGAGTATTTTTAGCTTATATTTTAGCTTATATTTTTCCTAGACCCCCTATTCTGTTTTGGTTTTTTTTTTCTTCACCATAAAAATCTGAAGGATAGTGGAAATGGGCATAATGTGTCTTAAAGCCCAAATGAATTTTTCTGACTGTGAAGATACTTTCCTAGAGTATGTAATTTTGGCACCAAACTCTTAATCTTATCTGCAGAATACATGATTACCTTTTCCTTTAGCACATGGGCTTGTCTGCATATGCTGTAATACCACACTTTTGAATATTGATTCCCACTTCAGCGCTTGAGCTGAGACAGAGGGATAGAGATGCAAGTAGAAAATAAATGTAGATTTCCAAACCCAAAATAACTGAAAGCTTCCTAAGTTCCTGACAAGTGCTTTTCTCTGATTCAGGATATGTCCTTTCTTAAAATAACGAAGTGGTTGTCCCTTCTTGAAATAGCAACCAGGCCCAGACAACTCACTGCAGGCATACTCTTCAAAAATATTTAACCCCCCCATTTCCCTGGTGTTTCAGGGAATTTCCTCACACAATCTGATGCATACAAGATACAAATTTCATCTTCTATATTTACTATTTCACACAAATTTATGCCAAGGTTTCTGAACAAGTCCAAACAACCTAGTTTCTAACATAAACAAGTCAATAACATTATATACAACTTATTTCAGTTGACAGAATTATATGTGATATATTGATTCTTGTATCCTGCAGAAATGGGAAATGAAGCAGTTGTTTTCTCAGAGGAATGAGTGCTAAGTTCTATATAAAATATAGAGCTGGAGGACCATGACTGTGACAATGATGAACTCCCAGTCAACCCTGAAACTGTACAGGATCTGTTGCTCCAGCTGGATCCTACAAATCTGATGGGATTCCCCCAAGAATCCTCAAAGAGCTGGTTGATGTCATCACAAAACCTCTCTGTATGATTTTTGAGCAGTCTTGAGAATACAGAGAGGTCCCAGTTGACTGGAATCTGGTGGATGTTGCTGGATTCTGCACCTGGGATGGTGTCCCAGTTTAAATGAGACAAGGGTCTTTTGCTGAGGATGAGTTAGGAGAAAAGACCCAAACTTCTCTTTCTAAGCAATTATAAATCCAAAATTAAGAGGCTCTGATTGAAGGAAAACAAAAGAGCCCTTTATTAAAAGAAACATGGGAAAATAAACAAGTAAAACAACCAAGCAATACTCCTATACCCACCAGTAATCCCCTTCAAAAACAAACCAATAAACCAGCAAAAGGAAGAGTAAACAGTTCAATTTTTTGCGCTCCTTGGTGCAATTCCAACCACAGTCAATAGGAGGTGCTGTTGGGTCACTAGAGATGCAAAACTTGTAATGTCCTGTACCATTCACCAGGTGGCGCTGTTGGATCACTGGAGGTGCAGAACTTGTAATGTCCAGTAAAAAACAACAACAAAACAACAACAAAAACACCCCTTGGTTCCCCTTCCCTTCCCACACTGGGACAGGAGAGAGGGAGTGGTGGTGTGGGGAGGAGGGGGAAGAGAGAGGAAGGAAAAAAAAAAAACCAGCAAACAGAAAGTTCTCTCAGTGGAAGAAAAACTCACAATCTTCAGCTAGTTAGAATTTGCTTTAAGCAGGGCCTGCAGCCGGCAACAGCTGAACAGAGAGCAGCAGCAAACTCCCCTCCAACAGGGGAGAAAAAAGAACCAGGCAGCGTCTACAGCTCACAGCAGGTCCCAAGCCCACCAGCATACCAGCCTCTCCTCCCAACCTCCGTGCCAGCCACACCCCCAGCCCACCAAAATTCCTCCTCCCCTGTTGCCCCAGAGACGAGAGAAAAAAGTAGACTTTAGATCCTTCATCTGCCTGTTTCCTAGGAGACTGATCTCTCGGCCATTAGTGGACCAGCCAATTCTTTTGTTCACCTGATAGCTACCTGATGGCCTATACACAGGGCACACACGGTGGGGGAAGGGAAAGAAAAATTCCTTGCTAAAATCAGAACTATGACAGATGGGGCAACCCTGGCTGTACATACAGACTGGGGAATGAGAGGATGGAAAGCAGTGCCATGGAAAGGGACCTGAGGGTCAGTGGCAAGTTGAATATGAGTCAGCAGTGCCCTGGCAGCCAAGAGGGCCAACCCCGTCTTCGTTGGCATCAGGCACAGCATCGCCAGCTGGTCAAGGGACGTGACTGTCCTGCTCTGCTCCACACTGGTGAAGCCTCATCTTGAATACTGTGGCAGTTTTGGGCACCACAATATAAGAAAGATATTAAGTTATTAGAGAGTGTCCCAAGGAGGGCAACGAAGATGTGAAGGGCCTTGAGGGAAGCCGTATGAGGAGTGGCTGAGGTCACTTGGTCTGTTCATGCTGGAGAAAAGGAGACTGAGGGGAGACCTCACTGCAGTTACAACTTCCTTGTGAGGGGAAGAGGAGGGGCAGGTGCTGATCTCTTCTCTGTGGTGACCAGTGACAGAACCCGAAGGAATGGCCTGAAGTTGTGTCAGGAGAGGTTTAGGTTGGATATTAGAGACAGGTTCTTCACCACGAGGGTGGTTGGGCACTGGAACAGGCTCCTCAGGGAAGTGGTCATAGCACCAAGACTGACAGAGTTCAAGTAGCATTTGAACAATGCTCTCGAGCACATGGTGTGACTCTTGGCAGGTCGGGAGTTAGACTCGATGATCCTTGTGGATCCCTTCCAACTTGGTATATTCTGTGATTCTGTGATCTATGCTGTAGCTTCCACATAAATTTACCACAATTACCTGAGGTAGGTCTTCAGCTTTACTGACAACAGAAAAATACACGAAATACATAAAAGTAAGCCACAAATAGTTCACCTTTTTTTTCTGAAGATTTATTCAAATAATACAAATCACGTGACAACTTAAAATAACTGCATTGCTATCCCAGTTTTGCATTTAGTATTTCCTGTGAGAAAAAAATCTTAAATTTAAGAGAATGAAAACAGTATACCATAAAGTTGTAACAAAAAGTAAAAATGGTGTAGCATAAAGAATGTTCAAGTCTGGATGGTTTTCTCTGAAGATTTGCTGTTCATTGGAGGCAAAGAAGTGTCTGTCCGTCTTTTTGAGTAAGAAGTGTTTCCCTTCCCACTTGAAGATCCAATTTAGTACATGTTGTAATAAATCTCTCTTCCAAAAGTACTTGAATGTGCTAAAAATTAGAAAAGAAATATGGAAATGTTTTGGCAATAGGAACTGTAAATTGTAAGTTTCTCCCTTCATCGAACAAAAAAAGTCTTCCCTATTCTTTCCAGTTTAACCCGAGGTATTTTATAGATGCCAAGCCTTATTTTACATCAATAAACCCAACAAGAGGAGGCACACGCTGGGGTTCCTCGTAGGTAGGCAAAGGTCTAACAAGAGGCCACATCCACTTCTAATATGTCATTCACACTTTGTGTTTCTGCTATGAGCCCTTCTATTCACTTTCAAAACAAATAGTTTCAGCCTGTCTCTGTCCTAATGGGAACTGCTTTTTCATGCTGAAATGCTGTCTTGCTTAAAATCAGCAGAAGTTTTGACACTGAATTCAATTAGGGTCATGTTTTTGCTCTCGTTTTTTGACCATTTTAGTTAATGATTTCACTTGATCTCTGTATCCTGGCTTATATAGACCACTCAGATGAACACTTACTGTTCCTATGTGTCAAGTAGTTAACTATGTCATTTTTTTTCTCCCATTTTAACAAATCAAAGTGTTGGATTTGCTCTCTGCTAACAGAGCTAGAATAGCATACCCTCAGTCTCCTTGTGTCCTGATTTGCAGTATATTTTATGTTACGAAGGTGTGGAATTGGATTAAAAGCTACAGCACAGTGCTCTGCAGATAAACCCACTGCAGGTGTGAAGTTTAATAGGATTTTAATTTGGTAACAAGGGAACAAAGAGCAGAAACCTAGAATGGGATTTTCTAGATTAAAAAAATGCTATTCGTGCTGAGAGAAAGCAACTGCAAGCTCTGTGATAAGGAATAAAGATCGGGCCAATGCTCTCTGAGTTGCACTTTTATAGATTACTGCTCGCTCAGAACATCCCCGTTACTGCCACTAGTTTCATCAATTCTTAGTTCATACTATGTGTGTTTGGCTATATAGCATTCATCTGCCACACTTCCCTCTAAGCCAGTGTGTACAAATCTTCTATTGTCTCACTCCCTGCCCTCTCCATTTTTTCATATAAAACCAGTGTTTTCCTTGGGAG